TTCAAAACGCAGCCTTAACACTTCTGGAGTTATTTGTTTGCCCACTATTTGTTTATATCTTCTGGAGGAAGGGAAATAGACTCCAAGGAATTACATTTCCAGAGAAAAACACTACAAAGTATTACAGTTTGAATTTGTGTATTTAAGGGGAAGATAAAAAAAAAAAAATCCAAGTGAACAGTTTCACAAGTTCTGGAGAGAGGAACACAGCTTACTAATTCCTAGTCTAAGGGTTACAGCTACCTCCAGTCATCTAAAGCCAAATGTTGTCAGTTTACAGTACAAATAGGCTTAATTAATTTTTTCTGTATTAAACATAGGGTAATTTACCCTATTAACTGAATATAGCAAATTTTAAAAATTAATAAAATTAATTAAAATATTAAAAATATGCCTGCTCGAGGAGCAAGCAGGCTCAGAGAACCTTGATCCTTTTGGCATTACTTCTGGCTCTGTTCCTACACTCTTGTAAAAAGTCTTCACCTGTCCCTCCACTTACAGGTAGGAATACCAACCACATTTATATATCGCTTTTCATCCACCTGTTCCTACACGCAACATATAACCACAAGGTGCTGCTATCTAAATTAGACTAAAATTGCCTTTTTTTCCTCCCCAAAATTATTATTAACCAAAAATGAAATTAAAAAAATTTAGAGTAACCTGTGTTTAAGCAGCGCACCAAAACTATGACTCTGAAAACTGAAGTATTCAGAAGTGAAAAAAACACTTTAAGGGCAAAGTAACTCTTTAGTTTCAACAAAAATATCACCCCTCAAACATAACATTGTGTCAAATTTTTATTTACCTGAAAATTAATTTTGCTGCCCCTCCCTCGCAATCTTCAGTCTATCCAGTTACAGGCATAAATTCTGCTTTGAACTACTTCACATATTCTCTGCTCGGAGTTTTGGCATGATAAATCACTACTGTCCACAGCACTGCAAAAGCAACTTCTTGTCTTCTAATTCTGCATCAGTTTGAAAGGAGAAAGATGAAGTTATAACATCTGTTTTGAGATCCTCTGCCCTCTGAATATGCAAAAATTGCAAGTTTAAAAGTTCTCTCAGGTAATTCTACCATCTCCTTACTGCAGCTAAAACGCATACTTCAATTTTTATAGCACTGTTTCCAACTAAAGCCTTTAAAGACATCTGGCAATTTTATAAAAAGTTATCTATAACCAAGCTTTATTTAAAGATCACTGTAACATACCCATATGCCTTTTACACATGCACTTGCATCTTTTTATTTCCAGGGGGGTTATTAAACTTGGGTGAGAAGTGTTTTTTCTCGATTTCTCCAAGATAACTTTGCTGTATAACTCAGAAGGAAGTCAACACACAGTCTTGCCAGTTCGTGAAAGCTTTTTCTATTTCACTCATTTATTCTAGCTCTCATGTCAATTCCATTGTTCCATAACAGTTAAGGTTTTACAGCCTTAAAATAATAAACGTATTTTCTTTTCACATTTTACAAGCCTATTCCGCGTTGTTTTCACTTTTGAGAAGCAACAATACATGACTTTGAACACCTACTATCACATCAGTGACCAGAAACATCTATGCAATTTTTTTTTTCTAAACAGTGAAGTTTAGCTGAACAGTGAGTCAGGATCTCCTTCTGCAGTTTCATTTTAGTTTTTTCTAGAAAGATAGATTCTCTGAAAATATAAAAGAGACTGCAAATGATCAGATAGCAACTCATATAGACAAGCGAGACAAACAGAGATGTATTATTGAACAATGTTTAAAGCATCAATCACAATATTTCTCCATCCCATGCATTCCACATCCTGCTGCTGATCTAGAGGACATGATGAAATATGCTTCACTACTGCTTCGATTATTCTGTAACTTTATCCTTCTGTCTTCTCTTCTACACACAAAATGGTTTACAAATATATTAAAATTGACAGGAACAGCCCTATCATGACCCAATTTGTATCGCTTCCCTCAACTCCTGTGCTTCTCCCCAAATATCACTGTGGTCATAATCTCATTTTATTTACAAAGCAATTCTGACTGCTACACAGAACAGCACTTCAATCCTCATCACGTGGACCAGAGTTCACTGAAGTTGTGTGATGGCTTTTGTTACTATTTTTAAAAGTAAATCATAGCTCTAACTAGGAGTAGAAGTAGGCAATAAAGCAGTCTTCTTCGGAAAACTGGTTTTCAAGAACTGATTAACGCATGTGAACTTGAACAATTCCAACGAAAATGCCATATCTAATAGAACATTTTTTTCTACTGGAGAGAAGTCATCATTTGAAACAAGATCTACAGGGCAGCAAACAATTATTAAGATGCTTTATTGACAATATCCACTCACCGCAAAAGTATCTGCCTGCATACAATTAGATCTTAGCTTTTCAATAGTGTTCTATTGGCAGTGGAAAATGCATCAGTACTTTATTGAAAGCAATAAATAATACTGTGATAAAAATAGTTCAAAAGTAGACTGTACATATTGTTACATAATCTGAAAATACACAAAAGATTAATAGAAAAACAGAACAGTAACAATGAATTTCAGTTTTACAAGCAAGTTAAAAGTGGAAAACAAAATAAGAAAAAAGACATGCTATATATATTGTTGCATAATAAATAACGCACCATCTGAACAGATTCTCGCTGGCTTTTTAATATGCCATTTACAAGTGTTGGATACATTTTCTACTCATACAGTCCAAAATGGCTACAACCATCAAAATTAAAGTCCAGACATCTCTTTAGAACAAGTTTACAAAACACAAACGATGACTTAGGTAAGAAAAGTAAGGCCTTTATTAGAAGTTGCACTGCTTTAGTTTTCAGCCCATTGTACCTTCATCCTTCACTACTCATTTGACGTGAGACTGCAGTGCTTCATGATTGGTCCATTAAAACTTGTTTCACCAGCATCTTTCCACAAGTGTTTTCAAGCAAAAAGATCTAGGACAAAAACTCTCTGTGGCCTGTGGATTACGACCAGGAATTATTATGAAGTCTAATCTTGCTCAGTTAAGGAAAAAAAATAAGAACAGTTCTTGGTTTATGGCTTGTTTTCAGTCACTCTGAAGATATGCTATACAAATACAGCAGAGAGCATTATGACCGAGTCAATCACTTCTAAGACATGTTCTGTAGTGTTACAGTTCCTCTCAGCTTTTAAAACAAGTTACATTTTAAATAAAGACAAATTCCAACTACTTGACAAATCCTCTTTGTGGAAAGGTACAGTTCTGAAAAGAAGAACAATCATGTACCATACCTTCTAGAACAACATATGCTTACCTGAAAAAAAGCTGGACTTGTTTTTAGATCTAAGATAACATTTCCAGAAGACAAAATATATACTGCTTGGTGTCATGATACTTTTACAAAGGTATTAAAATCCTTTTCACCTTCAGTTTCATTATTAAAAAACAATTATAATTACAGTAACTGCATAATTTACAAAAACCCTATATTACTTATAGGGACATATACATACAAGCATTACAGTACATTCAGTTGGAAAGACTAAAATTAGAATAAAAAAATCAGCAATGATTTGATTTGTAGACTGAATAGAAACAGAAAAAGTAAGTAACTATATAAATGAGAAGTCACATAAATATAAGAAACATTCAGATTCTAAAATATTTTCTCTATAGTACTCATGATTTTATTTGCTAATTAAAAACTCTGTAATAAAATATCTCAAAGTGTCCATTTAACAAGTATTAACAGGTTAAAGGTTCCAAATGTTCAAAATGCTGCATATCACCGGTAGAAATAGTGTGGGTAAACTGTAAAAAGAACAACAAAACAAACAAAAATCACACAAAAACCAGGAAAGTTCCATTAGCAGTTTTAAAAAAAAAACTTTTCATTCTAAGCTTCTCACAAACAGCTCAGTAGTGTAGCAGTCATGCATCGAATTATTGCCATGCCATAATGTATACAATTTTATTGCCTTCTGTAATCTTTGTGTTGCAACACAAAGTAAAGCACATGAGGTCAAATATTTCTGCTTGCTGGATTTTTATCCTAGGTCATCTGACTATAGAAAATCCTGAAACAGTGGGGAGAATTTGGGGGAGAGGAAGACTTAGAACTTCAGTGTCTTGAAACTAAAAAAAAAAAAAATTTAAGATGCCCCTGAGATTATGAACTGACAGATCCACATGACCTGAGTTACTATGCGCAAGAGTTTCCCCTTCTCAACATTTCATACATAAGAACTCTTTAGAATTAAATTTGTATATCCCAAAAGGTTCAGAACTTGAAGAAAAGGCAGCCAATACATGAGTTGGTAGGGATGTTACTGGTGAGAAGAAAGGAAAGAAACTGTAAGCAGAAGAGACAGGCAATTTATAGCCCATGGAAGATACCAGCCAGTGAGAGAAAGATTCACTGGATTTTTATTTTTAAAATCCAATGTAGTAAAAAAAAAAAATTAGTTTCCAGACTTGTTTGCAAAATGCGAGAAATACTATTCCATGAGAAAATACAGCAGAGGCTGCTGAAGAAAAATAATTTCAAATCCCGGAGCAAGACAGGACTACATATCTTTCCTAACACAGAATACATGTATCTTGTGTTACAACACCCTTGTGTTACCAAGCTGCCTTTTATTGTCAGCACTGCTCACAGCTATCGAAATTTAGGCTGCTGATAGCTAAATACCACCAGACGGCCTAAGCAATCATGGTGGCATCAAGTATCAAGAATTGGAAAACTATGCAATTATCCCTAAACAATTTAATATTGAAGTACGTTGTGGTGGGATAACTTGGACCATGCCAAGACTCTGAAAGATCAATAATCCGAACTGCGGTGTCACACACCAAATTATTTTCTTTCCTTTATATGCCTAATTTAGTTCTGTTCCGTCCTCCCCACTTCTACTCACTGTTTCATCCAACCTTTGATTTCAATGCTTCCTACATAGCTATTTAGCATGGATCCTTTTTGAGGTTGCTTAAAAAAAAAATCTCAAGAGAATACAGTATTTACGAAAGTAAATATTTAAACACTCATACTCTTCATTGCAGGAAATAAGCTCTGCATTTTCAATATAACAATCTACCCTGAAAACTTGAAACAGTTTTGTAAGTGTGTAAACTCACTGTATTAAAATACCTGACATTTTATTTCATAAATATTTGCTTTACTATTACACCTGTCAACTTTACTCACCAGGAGAAGGCTTTAACAGGAGTAGGTCCTTACTGTAGCAGAATCCAATCTTTGTGTTCCTGACACACTGCCTATTTCAAGAAGCATGGGAAGACATGCAGAACACAGCATGCATGTTAGTTTTCAAAAAAAAAAAAAACAACCAACATCACAGCAATGTGATTACAGCTACGGTACTCACCCAACTCTAAGGTTACAAGTTAGAAAAGCAGTATTTATTTTACAGTTTCTATATTAACCACTTTCAGTGACTATGAAAAGGAATTCTAAAAAAACCTGCATGCCAGCTAGCACAGAAAAATTGGCAAAGGTAGTAATTTATTTTTTATTTTATATAGGTTATATATTTTTATTTTCCTTTTTATTTTTATATTGTAAAAAGAAAAGGGTTTTACATGGTAAAGACTTCACTTATTTTAATTTACAGAATTTTCCACATGAATTCTGGAAAGTATTTTGTACTAGCGACAATATTTAAAATTTAAAACAGCTCATTTTAGAGCAACATCAGATGCAAAGGTTGCTTCTTTGAGCTTTAGTCATAAATACAACTTTCAGAACCTGAGAACTCTGACAGATTATGCTGAATTCCTCATCCTGTCTGTTCCAATTAAATACATTTTCCATTTATTTTTACTTGTGTTTTGTAAAACAAATTCAAGTAAAAGTTTATTCTCATGGTACTAAAGAGACTGTTTTTAAACAGACAAGATACCTCACGTGATAGGTGATCAGCTCCCACTTCCAGCTGGGGTTTTTGAGTTTGTTTGGGTTTTTTTAATACATATCTCTCTGTGTGTGCACATATAGATCATTAAGTACACAGCAAAGAATGAAGTAGTGATTTCAAGTATGATCAATATTTAAGTGACCACTGCAGTGCGTGTAGTACACCTTTTACTCAAGTTTTAATAATCACAGAATTATCTGAGGGAGTTTACTCCCATCATTTCTAAATGCATTTTACTGCATTTTAGAAGTAGGACTTACATTGGTCTATTTGCTGGTAATTAGAAATTATGCATCATATGATCAAAAGGCTTCTACTAAAATGTCATTTTATTTTCCTAGTTTAAAATAAATTTCTAACTATAATTCTCATTTTGTTATTCCAATGAAGTAAAAAGAAACTCCACATCTAGTACAGCTTCCTGAAATTATAAAGCACCCCATGGTTAAACACAGTGTTATATATATAACCATGCACAAGGCAGATGCTTTTATGCAGCAAAAAGGTAATTTGAATTTAATTCCTCTGTAATCTCAAGCAAAAAAGCACATCATGCTTAAAATAATACAAAACCAATACCATCAATCTGCATCTTCTTTGGCTGCATAGAGGGTGAAGACATTGAGGTTGTAACTCTGAAATTTGCAGGAAGAGTCTCTGCTGATCCAGCAGCTAAACCTCTTATGTCCTTTGGTCTAAACTTCTTTCTCCATGAAGGTGCTCTCCTAAAGCTCTTATCATCATCCTGTTATATTGATAAACATCATTAGCTATTCAAAAAGTGTAGGATTGTTACTGACATTAAAAGGACTACTGACAATCTTAATCAAATGTATCACCACTGAATAAGTTAATCTTCAGAATGGTCCAGGTGCAACAGCAACAGAAATCTTCATTTGCAACAATCTGTGTTCATTTGCTAGAGCGTAGGCTCTTCAGCTCAGTAACTATGGAAATTCACATGCCTGGCACATTTAGGAAAAGGTTTTGTACTTCGAATGTTTGTACTTCATGATTTGCAGTAATCTGTAAGTGTCACATCACTCATTTTTAGGGGATATGAGGAGTGGAGCACATCATAAAAGCTGCTTTGGGAACACTGACATGTAGAGGCTTAATTTGAACAATTGTTTTTAACCTTCAATTCTGTCTTACAGGAATGATGATACAGCTATTGTGCTTTCTCATGCTACAAATTATAGAAGTGACAGTGAGGAAAACAAAGTGTAGTAAATACTGTATTGCCATGCAGTGTTTTGCTTAAGCACTTGGGTAAACTTAACTTGTAAGTTAAGTGCATTTTCCCCCATTAATACATCTGTATCTTGGAAGTACTATTCCACTTCAGAAATATAATATTGCACTTACTAAATACAACAGCTTAAATCCCACTTCGAAAAATGTCTTTTGCAGTGAAGGTATTGTGTCAATGCAAATACATCCACTAGCCATCTCCATTTGCCAACCTGATCTTTAGAAACAGTTCAATCCTTTCAATTTCATTTTACCTAAAATTTATCCTCTTTTAGAATTAGGAGACAAGTATCTACATTATTTGAAGAGATCTTTGTGATGAAACTGCCCTGTGCTGCTAGAACAGAGCAAGCATCTGTTCCCTCAAAGCTCCTTCTCTTGCAGTTTGAAATCAGTAAGGAAAACTACCTTAGAAAACTATCAACCTGCTTTTCTGATTATGTTTTTAAAACCTTTATCAGAGATGCATACTGAGAACAGAGCTGTCAGGATGTGCCACAGAAGGGCTGCAACAAGTCCATTAGGCAAAAGATGAACACAAAACCAATCAAGGTCCGTCACAGCAGCCTCCTTCCTCAACACACTGGTGTATGCTTCAGCTCGCTGATCCAAAAGCGGTTCGAGCCAGCACGTTCACCCTTCCCCTGTCCTCTTCCTCATACCAGCACAAATGTTTCTGAGATATCATGGACTGGTTCCCTGATGTCGTTAACCATGTTAGGGTTCTGCCACTTTAGTCTTGATGTGAACCACTTTCGCCCACACGTGGTACCACAAACTCCCATTAGCACCAAGGAAGACGCAGCACAGAGTTAGGATCCTCTTGGGGAAGTAACACCAGCTTGAAACTGTTCACATAGTTACAGCATAGAGCAACTTAAAAGGTTAAAGATGTAACACTCTCTTTTATGCTATGGGTTGACAGGGTCTACAAAAAAAACCCACACACCAACCCACGCACATCTAGTTTAAGAGATTTATACTGATTACATTTGAATGAAGTGTATACACTGTAAGATCACAGACTGCCCAACAGAAATACTTTGATGTGTAAACACACCCGGTGGTCATCTATACCAGTATTAACAGATATTAACACCACAAGATTTCTTGCGAAACACTTGAAACTATTTGAAATATTGCTTGTCAAGACAAAGGTTTGAAACATGCTATACAATGCCTTTCTCTATTATAGCTTGTTCATCTGCAACACTGGTCACTAATCTTCCCACATTTTAGAGAGAAAAAGAAGATTCAGTCCAAAGTGCTGCTATAGGATATTAACAATACAAGCTACAAAAAGCAAACTGGAAAATCATCTCAGTACTTTTATATTCAAAGTCATCTTACCTAAATACACAAAAACTGCCATATTCAGAAACTCTCAAAGAGAAAGAATTTCAAGTTACAATTTTTGTCACTATTCTGTCAATAGCTTAAAGAGGTTCAAGCTAAATTCTTTCACTTAACACTTCTGATAAAGCTCCCAGGACCATAAAATGCGTCAACAGCTCAAGTAACTTACTTCATCAAGTCTTCTGTCAGTGCCCATAGCAAGAAGGTTATTAAACTCCCTCTCCAGAACAGCACGAGCCTAAAGTTTATAGTACAAAAGAAATGGAAATGAATTCCAAAACATTAGTAATTAGTAACCTGTAGTAATATTTAAAACTTAATATAACCAAAATTGTTTAATATCTTCTTATCAGATTAATAAACATACTTAGTACTTTAAAAGTTAAAATTTGTAACTTATTAAAAATTTAAGGAAGTTTTAACAGCTCTCCCTTCCCTTAGCGTGTCACAGAAGTTCATGATTTCTGGCTCAAACTTAATTATTTCAGAATAAAAACTAGCAAACAACAAAAATGATGACTTTTACACCAATGTTGTGAAGATGGGCTATCAGGAAAATATTCAAACAGTATCTTTTGTTCAAGCAAATTTACCAACCAGAATTATTATTAACAATTACAAAACTCTAAGGAAAACATAGTTCTATGTTTTTCTCTTATAGGATAATGAACAACTTTCCATTTCTGAAGTTTCTGGAGCTGGGAATAGAAAGACAAACAGTTCCTTAAGAAAAAAGAAACAGTCAGTTCAATTTTTAACCTTCCTAAAGGGAAGAAAAATCCTATTGGCCATAAAGTAACTACTTATTACTTACCTGTGTGTTTTGAGTGGGTATTTGTAGTAAGAGAGCTAATGCATTATAATCAAATGATTCATCTAAGGCCACAAGTGCACCATGAACTCCACTCTCTATAAGGTTATTCGCATATTCTTTAAGACCAATGGACACTACCCAATGGATCATTCTTTCATTGCTCCAGACAAGGACATCTATGGAAAAAGAAAGTTGCCCAATTTATAACAATACAACTTTTCTGAACAAAAAACCTAGATCTTGATCTGTATGCTTGTTTCGGGATTGAATTTCACATACACACAATTCATTATAAATCCTGTTAAATAGAAGCCCTCAAGGAATTTTGTCAAGTAACATTTCGGTTGTGACAATCTGGCCCCGCCTTTTTTAGTGTGCGTGAAATGCTCTGAATTGGCAATAACACTTCACACTTAGGAGCTAACACTGAGTGGTAGAGTCTTTCCATACAGTAGTTTTCCTTGCGCTCAGAAGGAACAGTCCTTGCTCAATCTCCTCTCTCTGCCCAGAAGGAGGCTACAGTCACAGTCACAAGTTCGGCTGGGCATAACGTTCATGCAGATGGGGAAGACAGGATCTTCTACTTTACATAGCCACTCAGGGGCCTGGACCTCACCCAAGACAGATTAAAATATTTTGGGGAAAAATATTTACTACTCAAAAGAACCTTATAGCAGTTTCTCATGCACTTCCTACTGCATTTGAACCAAAAGCTTTTATTTATTACCGTTGAAAGCTTTATTTATTAGTTTTATAATCTTATCCACCCTTAAGTTCTGAAGGTGTTCGATTTAGTAATGCAGACTTACCTTCAGCCTGTGTATGCACACTACTAAGCTTTTCCACAATCATAAATTTAAAGTAGAAAGTAAACATACTAGAAGTTTGCTGGAAGGCATTTCATACTGTAACGGTTCAACAATCAATATACTCTCATCTTTGAACTTTTTCAAGTAAAAAAAACATTCTAAAGCAGTATTTACATGTTCAGCCCAAATGTCAAAACAAAAACTATGCTCTTACAGTAGGTTTTTTACAGTACTCAGGAATGTCTACACCAATCAAACTGTTATAATGATCCACACCATGTTTCTGGCTTGTGTCAACCAGCATTCTTCCCAAACAATTCCTGGGAGGAATTTAAGAGTTGTATGTTTGTATGTATGGTGACAATGTTCCAGTGAGCAATTCCCTATAGGCAGTAGATGCAGCCATACCATGCAGGAGACTAAAAATGTCCTACCAGCCACAACATAGGCTTGTTTCATGGCAGTTAGTTGTGACTCCTGGGAATGTTCTCAGGCACAATTAGTAGAATAACCACCAAAAGGTATCAACACTTTAAAAGGAAAGGGGAAGTGCAGGCATAGAGCCTTGTAAGCAAATTTTGTACAACATAACTCTAACATTTTAGTCTAAGATGTCAGAAAAGACTTCTGGTATTAGGCAGAGGACAAAATTTCTACGGGAAGTCTTGGAAAATACTGTGAATTTCCACCCTGCTCTTTCTTCTTCCTCCTCTCTTGTTCAATAATCACCATGAATCTGGAGGATATAAACACCTAAGTCACCTGGGTATTTTTTCATGAAGTGCTGGGTAATAAAAATTACCAGCCACATGTAACAACAGAACCAACAGAAAACACCAAACTTCTTCAAAACCCTCATCCTCCTAGAATATTTAGTTTGTTTCAAACTTCAGAGCAGTAAGCTTCAAAAATGCCTGCATTTGTAACACATCTCTTGTATTTAACACTTGATATTTTATAAGTAATTCCTCCCTCTAATGCCTTTTTTTTTTTAAATAAATTTTTTAGGCAGATCAGTGAAAACATGTTAGAATCAGACTGAGGTCAAGACAATGCACTAACCCTTAATTTCATTCTGGCTTTCCTCTCTTTTTCTTTCAAGTTCTTTTCGATCATAATTCAGTCTTCGCAGGCACATAATTCCACATTGAAAGCTGTTTCTGTTTGGAAAAAAAAATTAGGAAAAAAAGACATTTAAAGATAATGGAAACACTTACTATAAGTCAGGTCTCCAACTTAAATCTATTTACCTGTGAAAGCTGTCCACCATTTTAAGTTGCCCACGCAGATCTTTTTTAGTTAAATGATCCAGCATTCGAGCATCAACAAGACATTCCATGAAATAGCTGCGATACTGAGGGAGCCCCAGGCTAGGGAGCCATTCATTGCCAATCCACTCATGGTTCATATCACCATATGCTAACGTCTGTTTTTAAAAGATTAAGGAATAAGCTTATTAACTTGAGAAATAAAAGAAAAGCTTTTTTAGACAACATATTTTAAAGAAAAAAGCAAAACAATGCTTCCTTAATTCTTAGCCTGAAGATAAGCAAATCAAAACACTGAATACTACATGTATGTTTTCTGAAGAAGTCATCCTCATGAAGAAAAGCAAATTTAGATATTCAGGTAAGCAAGTAAAAACTGCCTTATTTCATGCTGAAGAGTATGAAAAAAATGCAAAAGCTAATAAAAAGACTAATCTATATGGTTTTGATTGCAAGAACCATAGAATTTCATTCTGTTAAGATGTTAAAAATACTGCATCTCTTGAAAATTGGGAGGGATCTTATTTGTCACATGACCATATAAATACAAGATATCAAAAAAATAACTGCAGAGGTTTTTTTCAATACATTTAACTGTTTTCAGAAACTGATAAAAACCCACCATGGAAGAACAAACAATTCTGAATGCTTGTTCTTATCCCCCCACCCCACCCCCCCAAAAAAAAAAAAACACAAAACCAAACCACACAAAACCCACAAACTCTTCTCACTGCATTTTTGACCTGCAAATCACCAGGCATTTTTTGGAGAAAACGTCTAAAAAGAGAGTTTGTAACTATGCATCTAATCATTCCTTGAGCAACAAAAAAGAGCAGCTCCTTTTTTGAAAAGGTAAGGGTAATAATTCATTTTTACTGTGCAATTAAAAGTCAAAAACTTTATTTCTCCTCTAGAGGAAGCATCTTCTAGAAAGGAGCAGGCCACATCGAAATGCATTTCTTCAAGCCATCGCTAGGTAGCAGACTGAAAGAGCGTGTTACTCTTGTAACAGGGAGGCAAGCTATGATTGTTATTATCGACAATCTGCAAATGAGTATCTGAGACTTAGTTAATGGGACTTAAACAGGTTTAAGCTGGAGGGCAGCCAAGCAAGAAGGGGCTGTACTGTCCAAAGATATGGGTCACAGGCAAATCCCGAGTTTTGTTTATATCCCTGTATAAAATACTCAACTATATCAATGCCTGAAAATACAATTAGGATTTGTCATCACTTTAAAGGAAAACAATTAATCAAGGAGGATTACAGAATTAGTGCACAGAAATCTACTTAACTATCTAGGCTCAGTATGTCTTGTAGCACACCTGTGATGGTGGCTGGGTTGAACAGGGACTTTCTGCACAGAGCAGATATTGTTGTTGGACTTCTGGTTTCCCAGAGAGCCATCCCCCACCAAAACATTCTACGATTTATGTCATGAAATTATTTTAAAATTTGATCTAGTGCGTTCAATGCATAGAATACAACAATGCTTATTAAGAAAGTGTAACTACATTTTGGTGATTCATGAGCTAGAGGATAAATATTTCTGAAAGCTGGTAACAAAGACTTCTGAATATTCTTCCTCCTAACAGCCCTATTATTAAATATCCTTTTGCATAGCTTTTTTTTTTTTGTGATGTACTATGTAACAAAGTATTTTACAAATTTTCAATGATGAACCACCAAATCTTGGAAGTTCTAGAAAATACTAAAATACTTAAATCACCTAAATATAAAAGTGTATCTTCCAAGTATGTATTATACAGAGATAAGGCTGTAGTTTCCCCCTCTCCCAACCCCCAAGCCACACCACGAGTCAGTAAAAGAAACTGCTATAAAGGAAAAACAGATTCTTTCATGCTCTAATTATTGTGACAGTTTACATATAGTCTATAATATTACATAAAATTTCCAACCTGAGCCCAGCTTCCCTCCTCATCTTCCTGTTACATGGTTAGAAAAGCAAAAGAACACATACATATTAGTATTTAAGTTTAGTAAGGAGATCAAAGTTAAAGGTGCACTGCAAGACTAAGTCTACTGCACACCAAAAAACACTAGATAAAGCAAGCATCATGCATTGTTAAAAAATATACAAGCCACTCATTTTCATACAAGAGGTTGCAAAACCCATCTACTCATTAAGTTTTCTGGAGAGAAGAAATTTCTGCAAATAATTCAATTTGTCTATTAGTTAATCAAATCAGAGCTCCATTTTACAGATTAGAAAGAGTTTTGTTTAAAGTCTTATCAATGTTGATTTTTTTTCCCCTTCTGGAAAAAAAAGATCAAGATGCAGGTTACAAGGTTAATAATTAGAAGAAGCAATGATCCAGAATTTTAATGCATTAATTTAAAAAAAAAAAGAAAAAAAGAAAAAAGATCAAAAGGCACTTGATTCAAATGTTCAAAAAGTGGGAAAAGCACTCTAAGGAACAGAAGTGGCAACGCTGTAAACTAACCGTTTGTTGTGTGGCTGTAAGATTTTCCATTTCTTCATGTGTTACCCAGACATTTCCCGTGGTCTAATATGACCCCACAGGGAACCAATCCCATCCAGTGAAAGGAAAGCAGTAACAAAGAGGAGAGGTTGCAGAACATATAAGCAATCGGTACACGTAAGGAGCAGGCATGGGCAAAAGCAATGGTTTCTAAAGTCTTAACTATAGGTGTATCTATGGAACGTAATGGCATGGAATAAAAGCCTATTAACATGGATCACTTTTCTTCAAAGACATTAACAAAATTGAATGTGATAAACAGCTTACACTGATGTAATTAATGGGCAAACACTTGACTCTGCTCTAATCTGAAAAATGCATTTGTAGTCTAGTCCGTAACCCCAGGAATCTCAGAAATAACTTCAGATTGCAGGATTGCAGGACAGACTCACTCATGAGAGGAAATTCACACTAACTTCAAGTGTCTAAATTTACTATACTGTAGGGAGACAGATGGACTCCTAGTTTATGTAGTCAGAATCGTTATTTAGAGTTCATGGCCTTATATATGGATTAAAAGAGCCTCCAACTATTTTACAAATTTCTGTATACACACGTGAACTGCATCTGCATTATAAATTCTTCTGAGGCCCAAAAATGAGGCAAATAACATGTACTTTAAATATTTTGGATTACATACTTACACTGATACAAACTTTCCCTTGAGAAAGGAAATGTAGTTATTCCTTCATTTGATTTCCATGAAAGGAAGAAATATCATATATTTAAGTAATGTGTTCCTCTACAATTTAATGTTTCCAGAAATTCTTATTTGAAGTTAAATCCTTTCAGTTACATGTTTACGGTAGAATTTTTGGAAGTTCCAATGGTTCTAGAAAACGTTTAATGCTGGATCACTTTCCTTACCGTCCTTGAGGTCGGAGGGGCAGATGGACTTGTTAGGGACATGATTTCTTGAATGGCTAGCCTCAGCTTCAGTCTGTGCAGAGGATTACTAATTCCAATTTCACGCTGTATTTCTGTATCAGACAAGGCTGACATAATAGCACCGCTTTTCACATTTGCTCGGCAAGCAGCCACATACCAGGCTGGCATCCCAACCCACAGCTGAAACACAAAAAAAGGAAGTAAGCAGGAGCTGGAAAACATTCCCGGCTCCAAAACCTTAAATTCTTTAGAAGTCTGTACATTGAGGTTTTTATTTATTTATTTTGGAGGGACCACTTACCTCCAACCACACAACCACAGTAGGCCCATCCCACTGTGCAAAAGGCAAACCTTGTCTTCTGGCTTCCTCTAGCAACTCATGCCTACAATTACAGAAATAGTTTTTAATAACAAAGAGAAACTAGTTATAACTAGATGTTATAATTTAAACACTGCATTCAATTTACTATCTTCTTTCCAATAGTTAGCTTTCTTCCTTTCTCAGCCTTATATGCTATATCCACTAAGGCAGCCACAGCACATGTACAAGCACTACACAGTGATGTAAGCTGAACTGGAGAGGAAATTTCAGAGTGGCAGAAATGCTGGATCTTGCCTTTCAGAAATTTGTGTCTGAAACTGCTACTGACACTCTAACCAACACTGCCAATACACAGTAGAGATGTCAGGCTTATTTGTTTGTCAAATTCTCAATTGCTGCAATTTTCTGTTCAGCGAATTAGACTGAACCAAAGTAGTCATTTTTCTTCAACATGCAGATTTGAAACCTGTAGAAATGTGTGAGTACATCAGATACCCATGCCATTGAAACAGTACTGTCTGTCAGGCTGTGGAGGTTGGAAACTGGGACAGTAACCATTTAATTGGTGCATCTCCGTCTGCAACAGCGAGCCTGTCAGAATTTCAGGCGCAGCTTCAGACAACCATTATATTCAGAGACCCGCACTTCGGCAATTATATTCTGAAAGGCTGTGTACTGAAACTCAGCTTTCATCTCCTATGATGACACTATTTCCTTTGTTATTCTGAAACAGAAGAGACTGAAGTTTAATATTGACAATTCAGCTTACAGAAACAATGGAAGCTCACAAGATCCCTATAAATAGTTGCCAAAAATGTTTGATAAACCAAGAGAAAAAAAAAATTGCGTTGCAGCTATAAGCATGCAATGTTCTTAGGTACGTCGGTCTGAACAAATGGATAAAGTCTAATGAAAAAAAAAGCATATTTAAGTTGCCTTTGAAAGCTAGCTGTATATGGTTAAGTCTCCACTCACTCTCCTCAGAAGTTTAGAAAAAACAACTTCACCTAACTGGACAGTTTTTACTGGTTGATGATTTTTATTCATTCCTGCAAGTGTAGAATTAAGAAGATAAGCAGCAATACTACAGATTCAAGATCCTACATTATGTATTTATCTTTCACTCACAATTTAAAACAAACAAAATCTCCCTGCCTTCAGAACTGTATCACTGAATAGATCTAAGATGATAAAATATTTAAAACTTACAGATATTAAAAAACTACAACACAAGACATCCTGAAAAGGGATTACTGCCAGACTAGTAGCTTGCTTTGCTACTACTGCAAAATGGATATGCAGTATTCAGCTCTTTTGGACATGCCAGCATACCTAGGATCCTCATGTTATATTGGTAGATAACTAAATCTAAAAAATAATCAATGATGCAATAAATATACTAGCAGCTGTTTTATTATTAGATAGTACTTCTCCACCTGCATGTCAATAAATTCCTATCACTCTAGAACTACCTCCCAATACTTTATCCCAATTAAATGTGCTGCCCAGGAATGAAAAAAGGGGGGGAAGGAAGGAACTGCCAGATAACTGGTTACAAATAATCTATTATTCTAATGTACCTATTTTAAGACCCAATAATTAAGGTGGAAATAGCGTTCAGCACCTAGCAGCTCAATAGTTAGATTTCACTAACAAAGGAGGAGACCGTAAAAGCTAACAAATTTTTGTACACTTCAAAAAGATATATATATTTCTAAATTAGGAATAAAGGATCAGCTATTTTCCTGCTACCGTGGAACACATTCCATTAATCCCACTAATCACTAGCCCTGAACACATTCAGTTTTGCTTCCCTTTGTTGTTTAAAGATTAAAAAATGAGAAAAATAAATTAATAAGATATTATAAAATACTGCTTGGTGAGAACAGAATAAAATACTTAATACCATATTTGCAAGAAAGGAATACAATGTTTTTTCCAAGTAGTTTAACTTCGAAAGTGGTGTCTTTGTCTTCCTTTTCAGTGGTTGTGGTAACACAATTGTGCAGTGAGGGAGGTCCACTAGCGACAAGAGAGCACAGACATGCCCCAAGTAGCCTTAAGTTTGACTAGGATGACCCCAGGAGAACATGTAATCACTGCCTTGCCCCCAGCTTATAAAGCTGCTTGGGGTATTGTATGCAGTTCAGAGAACTGCAGTGTAATTTCTAGTAGTTTTATAAGTCTCCCTGCATACCTCAGGTTAATCACGAAACAGTAAATCATTTGGAGATGAGTAGTACAGGGAACGTACCAAAGGCATAAGGAGAGGTTATGATGCAAACTTGAAACTCATGGTGGTATTGTATGCAGAAAACAACTGTGTGGCTGGAAGGAAGTGTTATGTGATGGAGGCAAACATGTAGAAATAGAAGCAAACAAAACAAAAAAATGTTTATGAGATAACTTTATGTGGACATTATTCAATGGATCCAAAGAGGAATGCATCCATGAAGTGGAAAATTAATTGAGAAATTTGTTCATACGCAAGAAGAGATAGAAAACTTGCTTGCATGGGAAATCATTAAACTGAAAAAGCTCAAGACAGCACAGGCACAAAATACCTCATAGGAAGAACCCAAAGGCACCTCCTGTTTCATCTGCAAACGATGCAGGTTATCTTCCTGTAACGGAGAACTTCACTTTTCCAACAGTTCCCGTCCAACTTCACCAAGAAACTCATTGCATTCCAGCAATATGTGATGAGATTATGTTAAGATCACAACTGACATATCAGTTTAGTTTCACAGGCCATCCAATTATAACACTTGTGGGTGCAAAATCCAGCCTTGTATCTTTGTGAGGAAAAAAAAAAAATCTTGCAGTAGTGTTGGCAGCGTTAACAGATGGTATAAAGCTGGCACCATGAAGGACAAAAGAATGTCAAAGGAGTAGCTGGCTACTGGAATAACTCTTAGGTGACAAAGCCAAGGGATAGATGTCTACAGACTTAAGAAGTTGGCTGAACATCACTTGGAATGGGAGCCCAAACGTGCTGCTGCAAGAGGGGAACACTTGTTGTTAGACACATTCAAAAGGCATCTAACACCAGCTGTGGAGAACAAAGAAATTGTGGTCATATGGGATGAGAAATGATGTCAAAACTGCAGGTGCTTGATGTAGCAGGGAATACACAAGGCCCTTTAAAGACCATTTGAAGCATCTGTATTTAGAATGGCTCTTGGCAGGAAAGTATACACTAACCCCACAAGGAAAATAAAGCAGCCTGGAGTAACATCACTTTGTCAGTGGATTAAGATAGCATGGGAATGGATAAATCCAGAACTTGTAGCCAAAGGGGAATGCTGTATTCCAGATTTCTTGGATGGAACTGAAGATAACCGATTTGGAAGAAGTTCAGAGCAAACACTGTAGTGTGGTGGAAAAGAGTGATATTGATGGAAATGACAGAGTGGCAAGGTGTAAAAATTGAAAGGCAACAGTAGCAAAACATGAGATGAAAACAGCCTAGCTTCAGACAGAGCACCATGGAAAATTAGGATCATTATATATTGATTTCAGGTATGTAATAAACTCTTTGTGTGGTAATCTTTTTTTAAGGAGCATTATCATAAATTTAGGGTTGCCTTCCTTCTTGATTAATACAGTATTAAGTTTGTTGTGTTGTGCACAGAAAAGCACAAATACAGTTGTGGCAAACACCATCAACAGTACAGCTCACAAAGAAGATCAACAGCATGAACAAAGCACTAAAAACAACTTAGATTTAGTAATCAAAATGCAACACTTTTACAGAAATATATCTACCTAGAAAATGAATTGCCACAAATATCTACTATTGCTGAACAACTTTCACAACCCAAATCACAAAACTAATTCCATCTAAGTAGGGTTTAGTATTTCCATTGTAAAAATTCACACCATGCAAATTAAGACAAGACATTGAACTAGCATTCACACTGAACTAGACAACACTGGATTTATTTCAGCAACATGTTTTCACAATAAATTCTTTTGAATCTAGTATCTCCTCTCATAATTAGACTTTTTTGAAAAAAGTTAGATGTTTTAATATATTGCTAAAAAATCCAAATGGGATTTATCATACTTTCACAACAATCCTAATAAAATAAATATAAACTTACCCTGATTTTGCACTACCACATCAAATGGTAAACAAAGGAAAATAAAACAATGAAGGACAAATGTAAAACTAGGATTAAACTTAACTCAAAGGCATACAAAAGACAGACAAATAAGGTATACTGTATTTTAATTCTGTAACTATAAATAGGTTTTTGTTAGTAAAGACATTGAATACTGCCCTCAGCCTGTTCATGTGCATGCATGCAGAAATCAGAAAGATAAGCAAGCAGATAGGGATTAGAGACAACTATAAATAGAACTAGCTGTCATTGTTCCAAGTATTCAGGTAACTGGAATTCTTTTCACTGAATACAAGATCTTATAAGTGAACAGTGAGCCTCAAGAATTTCTTTTAACCCCACCCTCCTCCAATATCAAAAGCGAAAAGCAATTCAGAGCAGCTTTACCACCTTTTCTTTTTGATAATGAGCATTTCAAGAAGGCAACAAGGGATCTTTTGACACTTTGTGATAATATTGCTTCCTACGTTCAGAATACCTGTCAGTATTCTGAAACAGCTGGATTAAACTGCCTTGCTGGGATTTTTTAAATGGTAGATGTGCTTCTCATGGAAGTTCAAAGGGCCCTGCTGCTGCTCTCAGCAGTAGGAGGAATAAAACTAAACTTTATGATACGTATCTTCATCAACACAGTCTTGCTTCATACCCACTTTCACTAAAGTATCTGAATCATAGATATCACCCTGTGAATAAGCACATCCCATATGTAATAGCTAGGCAAGGCAAGTTCAAACTACAAGTTTTCATTTGTCTATTTAGAGACTCTTGCCTTTTAACCAACCAACATCACACGGCCATGAGGTATACTTTAAGTAATACCAGTAAATTTCTGAAAGGCAGAACATTTACAATGAAAAGTCACAATTTATCTGCAACTGCATTTTTTGCATTTATTAAAGCAAGACAGTACAGATTGTTTCGAATGAAATTTGTTGCTGGTATTGAGAAAGATCTATATTGTTCAAAGAACAGGCCTACCACTGTTTAGATATGACCGACCAGACTAAAACTATTTATTCAACCAAGATGTGGTATGACTTTAAAGCTCTGTAGAAAAGGGAAAATACCAGATCATCATAATATACGATTGCCTTCAGTGTAACAGTCTGAAGAAAAACAGCTGAGCATTCTGTTACACAAACAAAACCACATTCCATTCTGACTTTTCAAACCAACACGCTGCTGGTTTTCATTAGCAGTCACCCAGCATTATTCTTATTTGTTGACAGAACTTAGGTACTGCAAGAAATCTCTCACAAAGAGAACATTAGCACACTTTCTTTTCAGCATTCACTATTCTGTCTTCAGAAGGCAAGTAAAAAAACAAGGCATGTCTGATCTTGGTCAGCTCTTCTGACACAGAGTAAAGACAGCTGAACAGAACAGAAGCAACAAAAGTTCAAGGTATATGGCTCGATTTTGGGTGCAAAAATGCAAAGATGCCTGATCCTACTTGCATAAATGTGAGTGTTTCCTGTATTACCACATAGAGCACAAAGCCACAATTTCTACTAGTAGCAATATCTATTTTTCACCTACAATTATAGGCTTTGCTTCATCTCTTAAGTCTGGGAATCACAAAGCACGAAATAGATACTCAAAAGCTGAACAGTAAACTAAAGATTTTCTTGGACATACACTGAAAAAAATTCTCATGACTAGGAAAAGGTAACTGCATATCTAAAAGGTGCCATAAAAAAAGGAAATCGTCACAATTTATTAAAAAAAGAGGAAATCAAGGTTATATGGTACAAAGAAAAAAATATTTCAGCTGCTAAAATCTATGAGAGAAAATGTCGAGATAACCGTAAACAGAAGTGAAAAAATTAGTGAATACAGCAGCAGTTAGCAGCTGCAACACAAAAGGAAAGACATAAAGAGTCACCTGCTAGAAAGGAACCAGCAAATGCTTACAGGAGGATGTCTGCATGGAACATCTCACGCTTTCACTCTGTCAACTCTTTCACACTCTGGAGCAAGTAACAGCCAAAGGTAACTTTGGGAAATCTTCCAAATGAATTAAACCCAAAGCAGGTATTAAATATAACAAATTTGGGGTGGGGGTGGGGGGGTGTTGATAAAAGTCCATTTTTTATCTCCAAGGTTGTTTATTACAACATTTCAACAGTAAGTTTTCAGCACTGAAATTAATTTCAAACCTACCATGACCTATGCTACTCCTAATGTTCTGGAAAAAATAGTTTTTAAAAAAAATTCTACAGAGGCTTATTAGCCATAGCACCATACTAGGCAAAAATACCTGGAAACAAAACAAGAAAGAAAACAAAACATTTTTAAACAAAGCAATACCTTAACAACAGAGGATTAAAAATATTTTGTAACTTACTTTTTCTGCATTTTCCTGTTTTTTTCTGCCTGACCTCCAAGCTTGCTGAGACCTAATGCATCCTGAGAGGAACTATCTGCCTCTGCGATGCCAACTACAAAAAAAAAAAAAAAAAACACAAACCAAAAACCAGTCTTGTTATCTTCTCAGTTTTGGCCAGATGTAACTCAAAAATCACTGCTGCTTTCCGGAACAAAAGTATTTAATCCTTTGTAATATTACTGACCAGAAATGTACAAAGCCAAACCTTCAAGCCCATCTATCATTCCATTTTCTAGTTGAATACATACCCATCAAAATGGTGTATAAAAATAGGAAAATCAGACCGGTATGAACTCAAATAGGTGCTGCCTAAAAACAGCTCGAGTCACACAGAGAATCTCATGTTTCAGCCATCTGTAAGATGAATTCTCAGTGTGCTTGTATCACTTCTGATTGGTGTCAACATCAAGAATACTGTTTTATGCAAAGAATTACACAAGACAGAAAGGTAACCGTAGCATTTACTAAGCCAGCTGGGTTCATTTCAAGGGAGTTCCTTTGGGTATAAAGTGAAGATAAGCCTGTTGGTGTCAATACTAACAAAAAGTCTCTTTTGCTTCTCAGATACAGTTGAAATCTTTGCTTCACAAAACAAGCCACAACAGTTCAATAAAGTTCGATAACCTAGCTATGGGAGACTGAAAGATAGCAATACCTGACTAGCTGAACTTGCATCCTATGCTCATAGAAGGACCCATCAGACGATTCAGAGTCACTAGTTCCAAAAAATGCTGTATATCAGCATCAAAATAATCAGTCATAAATATGCACATACTGATACATACATAATAAAATTCAGTCTTTCACTCTCTCTCTTACTGTGCAAAAACAAAAAAACAACAAAAAAAAGGCAAACCAACCTTGTCCTAATGTTTCCTTGCTTGTTTGTCCAGGTCGTCCCTTTTCTTTCTTGCCAAACAAGCGGCCAATAGAGGATTTGATCCCCTTCTTTTTGGGAGCTTTATGAAGGGAATCTTGGCTACTATTACTGCTACTAGGATTACTTGTTTGCCCATCTTGCGAGCCTGTTGAACTTTACAAACAAAGGAGTCATAAAGGAGCACATGTACAACAAATTCACTAGCATAACATAGTGAGACACAAGTTCGGGTTTCTGTGCAAGTTAATAAAAGCTCAGTAACTCACTAATGACGTCTAATTTCAGCTTTTAATGAGTCATGAAAAAAAATGTATCTACTAAATACATGTCATTAATTAGAAAAAAAAGTGGGAACAACTAAATCACGCAAGAAAGGAAGTGATATAATATTTATAAATTATAGCATGGAATTACAAGTAAATTCTTACTTTAAGTGTTTAAAGTGCAATTCAGACACATCAAAGTTAACAACACAAACTCCTGACAAATTGAGGCAGACAATGGAAGTTTGAAATACTTGAGTGGAATCCATTCCACATACTTAGGCACTTTGAAAAGAACATCTGTCAATCAAAATGATGGTAATTTTGCAACTTATTTCTAAATTTATAGCTAAATTCCAATCTATGAAAGAAGATTCAAATTGTACATCTTTTGTTTCATAAACATGAAGCAAACTTAATGCAGACCCCGCGTACCAGAAGAATTCTTCACATAAAGCTATTTCTGGTCGTTAACAAAATCTGTATTCCTATTGTTTACCTAAGTCACCCATTTATGTGTTCATACTCTTTACTTTTGAGAAACACTTCAATATCTAGACTAAAATCCTACAGTCTGAACAGCTTTGCAGTTTTAGAATTTTATTGTGATGATCTGAAATACAGCTACTTACTTTCTAATGTCCCTGATATCTTCATGGCTCACTGTATGCAAAGCTCCTTTTTGGACTCTGTCCAAACGCAAAGAACGAGGTGAAGAAGGTGGTGATGTCTCACATTTTATTGTGGTTTTATCATCTCGTACCTCTTCTCTAGAAGCTGGAGACTAACGGAAAATGAATGAAAACTGGAGGGGTTAGTTGCAAATGCCAAAACATAAATGTAATATCAACACTACACAAAATATTGAAAGGAAAAATCAATTATTTCAGTGTTAAAGGATTACTCTTGCCCTTACTGTTCTGCAGTTGCCTATTTTTTGTTTGACTTCTTTCTGAATTTTCTGTTACCTTCAGTGACAAACTACTAAATTTCAGTCTTAGCTAGTGAAATGAGCAAGTAGCACTCATCTTGTATTCATTCATAGAGCTAAGAACTCAAGCAATGTCTTCAGCACCATAAAACTAATATACGTGACTTCAGTTTAAGCAAGTGCAAAGACAGAAAACCAGAGTCCTGTGAAAAGAAGGCACTTCAGTTCTCACTGTTACATGTTTAGACAATCATTAGAGCAAGAGTACCAATTCTATGAAGTCAGTTTCTACATACCTGTGGCTGTGGCTTATCTCAGTTTGAGTAACAGAAATTAGGACTTACTTGTGTGTGTACTAACAGATCTTTAAAATTAAATACTGTTTCATGACGATTGCAAACTAGTGGTTACAAACAGAAAGCAACAGTCTCCCACACCAGCAAAAAAGCCAAACAAAAAAAAAATACACAAAGCAAAACAAACCCACACGAAGATGATAAACCACTTTACGTTTAATATCAAAGAACATACAATCTTGCTTTTTTATACAGTTACCCTGCAAATGCCTTTTTTTATGTTCCTGTTATCGATTAATGAGCTTGGGGACAGGGAAGGAGATAAAAGGGCACACCAATAAATAAACTAAAGATTTTACCTTTCTACGGTGTTTCCTTAAATCACTAGGCTGATAGATGCATGCAAAGAAAAGAAATTTGGAAAAGCTGTATTTATTGTAAACTGTAGCACAGACGGACATAACTAGTACAGACAAAATGTATTAGGGAGAATATAAATAACAATTAGAGAAAGATACAGAGTATGAAGTAGTCTTCAAATCACAGATTACTTAAATGTATCCCTGAAGAGGGAAAAAGGAAGAAAAAGAAAGTAATCAAGACTTATAGTTGGTTATCTACAAATGTACCCTAGATATTTGAATGTATTGGTACCACTGGCAAATCAGCACACTAAATGTGCATTCTCTTCAGAAAAAAAACAAAACAAACAAACAAAAAAAAAAACCAAAAACAAAAAAAAACCACCACACAGAACAGTAAAGTACACAGGGGCATAAGCTGTTGCTTTTAAAAGGTGAGAGGATTTCCTGTCATATGTCAAGGATTTGCCTTGAACTATAAAACCTACATGGTAGCCACAGCAGGCTTAACACATTGTCTGCACTAGTCCCTTCCTACACCTTAGCAACTTCTGCAGTTGTTTCCTACTTAGCATAAAGACCAGTCATACTTTAATAATTGAAAGACAGTGCCAACCACAGCTGATTTCTATACAATAACGGTATTCCATTCTTTTTACTAAGTTTAAAGTGCTGGAATGTTCAAGCAAGAGTCTACCACCAGTTTTATTTTATCCTCCATTCACTCCAGACGCCACTGCATCTCTGCTTCCTAGGTACTCGTCACCTCTGCCAGTGCACAGAGCAAGGCAGCAACCCTCAGCTACACAAACATGTTACCAAGTTATTCAGACAGATGCTGACAAAAGTTTCATTTAGATAATTCATTTAATAGTTATCATGGCATTTGGTAACAAATTATTTCAAAAGGCTGTAACCAAAAATAACGTCAGTCCCCTCTGAAGCTGAAGGGGAATTGCATGTTGTTTCCCTCCCACAAATGACAACTTTTGATCATTTTTTATTTAGACTACATGCAAACTATGCAGCATTAATATGTAACGTTTTGTTCAATCTGACCATAGAGTACTGTGTTAATAAATCACAAGTTCATAGAATCATAGAAGCACTTGGGTTGGAAAGGACCTTTAAAGATCATCTAGTTCCTCCTCAAGGAAGGAGGACAAAGCACAGCACACTCACTTTAGCCTTGCTGGATCTTTCATCTGTTAAATCTTATAACCCATAAAAATGAAAATGTTTACCACATGGAATGAAAACTGTCCACAAGAACTCTTCCAGAGAGCTGCAGGTTTCCCAATTTATCATGTTGATGCTTTTTAATTCATTTTAATTATGAGGGATTTTCAGCTAACTGAACTGCCTAACACCACTACTGCAGTTAGCATTAAGCTGATTTGCCTACATGATCATAAACTAATGCCACTTTCTATTAAAACACTGAAACACCCTCCCCCAAGAATGAGTCTGATAAACCATAATAGCCATTCCAAAAGTTTCTAGAAAGCTCTTGTTCTGTAATTCTAGAAGCATAGCTTCCTGTTTTCAAGCTTTCACAAATCAGTTGCCAGGTACAAAAACGTCAAGACAAATGCAACTGCAAACAATGGATCAAGTGTCTGACTCAATTCTTACAATGTAAAGTGAATTTAATTACGGTTTACTTTTGCTCAAATACACTAGATTTTAACACAAGACATGTTCTTCTGATCTAGTTTTCATGAAAATAGCTACTTGAAATTGTATATGGTTTTCTGTAGGAGAAGTACTTAGGCTTAACTACTTACTTCTGTGAAATGTTGGAACATAAAGCACTCCACATTTTGAAATTTGTTCCTTTCTGTAAAGGAAGTATGCTTGACCCTGGCTATACACCTAGAGCTAGTATGACTTTTCTGTTGTTGTTGTTAAAAAAATAAAAGTCTTCTTGGTATACGTACACACTCATTTTAAAAAGCCAGCAAAAGTAGTTAGCCAAAATACTTGTTTTTAAACACTCCTATAAGAGACCTACATGAGCCAAGTCAGTCATTTACAGTCCACCTGCTCTTACAGTGATGGATAGCATTCCTTGTCCACTGGTTGGTATGGTATAGGCATGATACAAGTACAGTAATCCAAGACAGTAAGGTATAGTAAGTATGACATCGCACATACAACTAGCAAGTACAGTTTCCAATTGCACATGCAAATCTGGAGACAAGGAAATGTATATAGAACTAAATTAGAGAAGGAGCTTTTCCTCAAGAGTTCTTGCAAATAAATACCTGTATCCAAGAAGCTCCTTAGTGAAAGGTATCCCAAATACAAGGAGCTGTTAGGTTTGCTTAACATTTATGTAAAAACAAGAAAGTGGAAAACTTGTATCTTGCTTTTACAGGTAGGTTTATGTGCATAAAGCAGGTCCTAGAAGGATTAATTTTTCTAAGCAGTCATATGAATGTCAAAAGAATGGATCCATCTTTACTTGCTGAACTGATAAGCCCAAGCTACTACGTCTAACACATACTTCCTTTACCTACCAGCCTTAATAGGTTAAAACAAGACACTAGCACTCATTAAAAGAGCTGTGATACCTTCACAATCTTCAAGATTAATGCAATGTATGCAAATCACTTTTTAGCTGAGTATTTAGTGGAATAGTGGACTGATTAAAATAAAGTTTAAAGCAGAGGGAGAAAGTGGTTGCTGTACCAGGGGTTGAAAAGAAAAAATTATTTCTTCTAGGAAAAGGAGTCAGAAGAAAGACCGTAACAACAGAAGGAATACTTAGGCATGAGATGTTGACCAAATAATAAACTTGAGTTCTGAACATTTTTCCTAAGCATTATGACTGTATCTTACACTTTTTATAGAAGTTGTAAGGAAGCAGTAGAAAAACCTAGAGAAAGGAAAAATACAGCTGAGTAAGAAGGAGAGGAAGGGGAAATCAAACAACCCATTTCCTAGAGAAAAGGAACACGCTTCCAAAAAAACTGAAGTTAATGGATACTTACCAGTGTCATGATACCTAGTCTGTCCACTTCCCGAGCTGGACTATGCGGAATCCGCCTTGGGGTGGAGCGGCCACTGCCAGGCGGGGAAGAACCAGCAAGTGAACCACTTGCATAGGGAGGAGGAATGGAGCTCATGGACCGGAATCGGCCGTGGGCATCCAAACTTCCACTACCTACTCTGCTTTCAATCTCCTCTGCACGCTGCTCTGTGTTTTCCTTTTCTTCTTGTATAAGTCTAAAAGAAAAAAAAGTTTGAAAGGAACATGACATTCCAAGAAGTACCATATAAACAGAACAGCTGACTCAGGCATTAGGAAGAAGCAGTACTTATCAGACAAAACACACTGAAAAATCTTCTAATCCAATGTGAAAGAAGTGGCAAACACTACTGCTATTACCACCATGCAGGGATTTCTGTCAAACTACTAATACACAAACCCTTCCATAAATGAGATTAAAGACAAAGAAGTACTTAAGCATAAGCAAACTAGTTAGTTCTGTCAACCGCCCTGCCAGGAAACCGAACAGGCGACCACCATTTTCCAAGTAACCACACAAAAATGATTCCCAGAATCACAGAAACTCATTTTATCAAAACCTTAACAGCAGATAGATCATACCTAATCTCTTTGTTGATTGCATCCAACTGTTCTTGAAGCATCATGGCCAAAGTCTGAGCATCAGCCTGACCGCTTGGTGACAGCAGATCAACTGAACTGAATATAGTCTCCCTATCATCCTCAACATCAGACACATCAACATCACTTTCAAATGCTTGTGCCACATTTGCCAACACACTTGCTTGCTGGGCTCGCTCCCAGTCCTGCTCATTCAGAGTTTGAACCTATTAATAAATAAAAAAAAAATCCAAACTCAAATGGGAAAAACATGGAGTTTTCTACTGTTTTTCAAGAGGTTTAAAATAATTTTTAAAAAGCCCACTTACATGCTGAATGCATCCATCAAGACAGCAATGTTTAGAGAAATGTAAAAAAAAGCTATCATGTAGAAAACGTTGCATCTTACAGTTAAGTGAAATTTAAAAATGGACAGCCTCAATGAATAAATTAAAACGTCACATATCTTGGCTATATACACTATAAATTACAGTAGATTTTGCTATCGAATCCAATGAGAATTTTGGAATCAGCTTTATATAATGGGAACTTATGTGTCCTGAAAGGGACTTGAAACTGCTTGCAGAACAGTAACGTTAGATTAGCATATAGACACAAAAGTAGGACTGTTTCAAATTATATTTTACAGGCTTATCATACATAAAACAAATTGGAGTTCTAAATAACGATTCTGCAATTATTTGTTAACAATTAAAAAGACTAGTAGCTGTGTATTAGTCAGTAAAACAGGATCTATAAAATCTAGCAGTTTAATGCTATGTACTCCTATTCTAAAAACTCCTTGCAATAGATTTGCCTCATCTAATCTCTTTTGTTGCCAAAGTTTTATTTTCATTTTAATTTCAGAGTTGTATTACCTTTGAAGGTTCATCTCTGAGAGCTGCCAAACGTCCTTTCTGGGGACGCCTTAACACTGCTGAGGTGCCATAGGAGTCTGCATGACCGTCAGATGAAGATGTTATAGGGTATCTGAAATCTGGTCGGCTAGAGCACAAAGAAACATTTTATCCTGACAAAGGAAGTGGGAAGGGCAAAACAAACCAAAAAACCCACCCAAATGATTCCTCTTGTCCCACCAGTGGCAATTTTTTTAAGCAGTACAAAAAATGCTTTATATGCTCTATAAAGAATATGTTTTACAGCTATGACTAAAATATTTTCAGTTATAATAGAAAAAATTACATTCAAAGTGATTTAAAGAAATTACAAAAAAACTGAACTACAATTAAGTGCTGGTACCTATGATGAAGGGATGTGGCTCTGAGTCTCACTTGGTCATTTTCAGCCCTTAATGCTTCAACATTTAATACAAGTTGATCCTGTAAAAAGAGATAAAATACATAAAAATATGCTAAAAAACCACGTGTCAAATACTGATTTATAAATTAACATTTAGTTTTTCAATTTTTATGAAACTCAGAAATAACAGATTTTAAAACACACCCTTCAATGATGTAAAACATAAAAATGATTTGTTACACACAATACAGCACACACAAAAGGGCATCCAAGAATAATTCTGTTTCCTCTCTAGACTGTGACTATGTATCGACAATATGTATTTTAAAAACAACTACTAAATAAAATCCACATATTACTAAATTTACTATAATTAAACCGTAATATTTGATAAGAAACAAGAAGATTTTTCAAGCTCTGTGCACAAAAGGTTCTAAATGCATTCACTTTTAACTTGGACATTTTTACATGCTCTAGAAACTCAGAATTTAACAACAGAGAAATCCAATGAATGAGAAAACAATGAAAGACTAATAAAAAGTGGCTGATGATGAACATCTGTGCCTTGTGTGAAAACTGCTGGCCTACACATACCAAAATTCAAAGCATATTCTGCAAAGTACTATGAATGCATTCTTCATTTTATTACAGAAGCACAGCCCTTATAGTTTGGCCTAGCTACTTACTAGAATGATTTGGGGAGATGCAGTACACCTGTGATTTAATTAGCAATAACAAGTATTATTTCAGAACAGATAGCATGACCACAAAATCATTTGCCACTGCAAAGGATGCAAAGAAATGTAAGGCCTCACCACCATTATTCAAGAAGTGAACTTGTCAGTTCCAGGACAAGCAAAACATCACACAGCTGCTATGGCAAAGGAGCAGCCAAGTCTAATAAATATTTCTCTCCCTGCCCCCCAATTCTTAAAACTAAAAATTTTTTTATCAGTCAAACAAGCATTTCATGATGCCCAATGCTTTAAGAAAACACTTACGGTAAAATACCCAACATTAAAGTATTTCTCTTCTTTTTTTACTGTTCAAGCTCATACAACTGTATAAAAATTCTATTCAATCTTCAAACTTTGGCAAATTGCCAATATATCCCAGCCACTTTACATATTCAGAAGTGTCTTAAGTCCTTAAGTAAAAAGCTATGTATTACATTTAAAATCATCATAAAACTGAGGCACACAATACCATAAAATGAGCAATAACAGCTCCCTACTTTTAAACAGATCAGGTAATGTTAAGTTTTACAGGGGTATTCAAATCAGGTCCTGCTATGTAGCAATGTAGCAATTATTTTCCAATATAGTATTTCAGAAATGTGTATTATACCTTTTCATGCTGAAGTTCCTCTACTTGTTTTTTTGCATTTTCAATTTCTCGAAGAAGTGAATTCTAAAATAAAATGTATCACAAAATTATGTTAGTTATAAAAGCTTTCAACTCTTAACCCATAACCAAGAGCAGTATCAAACAAATTCAGTCAACACTAATCTTAAATTACAGATACTTAATTACTTACATCATTTCACTTTGATTATAGTTGAAGGCTTATCCTTTCAGGTGTACAGCCCTCTAAATAACAGGTTTAGTAATAGTATAGTTACATAAAAATTTACTACCAATACCAGCCTTTTAAAGCTTCATTTGACAAAATTAGTAATAAAAAAAAGTAATAATTAGGCAGCTAAAATAACTCAAAGCAATCCACTGAGTAGTTACTAAGGCATTACTGGCTGTTATCATTAGGTATTCATTTTATTTTCACTTGCCTGACCTACAAAATGACTACACAGTAACCTCTTGGATGTACTGTACCTCCAGAACTGCAATACTCACTGACTTAACAGCCTTCATTAACATTAGAGTTGTTGTCTTTACAGTTATACCATGACTTTTAAACAACTCTGGTAAATATAAATACTTATGACTACTACAATCTCTGCTCAAAGCAGTTTCCAAATTCAGACTAAGAATCATTTGAGAATTAAGAAACATTTGAGAGCTACAACAATCAAAACTATTTTCAAGTATGATATTTGACTGTCGTATGTGAATCCAAGGGGAAAAAAAAAAAAAAAATAGAGATTCACCCTCCTAATAGCAAACTTGTAACTGGGTCACTTCCTTTTCCTTTTCCACCATTGCCAAGAAGTTCTGCTAAACACATTTCCTTCCAGTAAATAACACCATTATTACTCGTTTAAGATGCAAGTAATGTTTCATATATGAACAAACAAATCGTTCCAGGAAAAAAGCCCAAGGGATCAGAAGAAAGTCTTAAAATGTTACTTGCATGTTTCTTCCCAACGTATCAAAAAAGAATGACCTGGAAGCCACAGAAAGAATACTTTTCTAGAAGCTGTTACTCACAGTGAAGGACAACTAGATTTTCCTCATTATTCATGAATGGAGTTTGTGTTTGGAAGGAAAAGGGGAGTTAGAGTCAACCCTAAGACACCCCCCAATATTAAAGCATTTTTAAAAAAAAAAAGTAGTCAGCTGTTTCTTAGAAATTGGATTTATAAAGATTGTTAGAGCATTCTTGTTGATGTCATAACAAGGCCCATAATAAGAATTTATTAGGAGCAGTTGGTGATCTTGAAAGTAGTGATGTTAACTAAAAAAGACAAGACAAAGTTTGCAGCCTCAGATGCCTGATGATAAGCACCTTTACCACCAACTCCAAGGACAAGAATCAGTAGGACCTACATTTGCTCTGCACTACTCAATTCCTCCCAGCTCCAAGAGTGCCAAAGCAGGGAAAAGAACCAACTAAATCTTTGTAATGATCTGAGGGGAGCAGAGTCCTGGAATTCTGGAAAAAACATGTCAGATACCTGACTGATGGTTTAGGGATGAGAACTGAGTTGACATGAATGCAAGAGAAAGCAAACATTTATTAAAAGTCTGAATACATCTGTATATATTGCAACTGAGGCATTCTATTGCCATGACTTTAAACCAAAAGCCACTCAGCTTTTATTGAAACATTTCCCCAGGTGGTCATTTCACCCTCCAGTAAAAGCCAGAAAGTATTTTTCTATTCCAAGATAAAGCAATTCAAAGTCAGCATCAAGCAAAGCGCTACTTTAGAAGACACTGCTTCGTTCAATGCGGAGTAAGGGAATCTAACTTAAAAGGCATGCATGGAAGAAAAATCCATGAGGACCTAGATCCAAAAGCAGAAGGGAAAGAAACAAAATAAGGAATACCACAAGGTAGAAGATGAATTGAATACAGGGGAAAGCTCCAAGGTGTGCATTGACAACACAGGGAACCACCCATTTACATTCATATAACCTGTCTCAAAATGATCTATCAGCAAAGGAAATGCAAGATTGTTTCAACTTGCAAGAATCCCACAGTGACTCAGGGTAACTGGTACAGACAAAAGCAGGGGGAAATAAAAGAAACTGAACCTAAAAGTCAAAGTTCTAGCCCTAATTCTTTAGACTTCCTCTATTAACTGGATGAGCCTATTTATGCAGTCCACACCAGTCAACTAGGAAAGGAACAAGCTTTTTAAAAGATGCCTTCTCAACACTGTAGTACAATATCCAGGGACAACCTCAAAAAACATGAATTTTAAGAACATATTTTCAAAATCCACACTAGAAAGCAGCCTTAACAGAAACAACATATTAATAAGGATTTAGTATTTATTTATTGAAGTTACTGACACATTGCAAAGTACAGAAATTGCTACAGAATGTTGAACATCTAATTAATGGACATGCTGGAATATGACTTGTTACCTTATCTTCCAAGGCAGCCATCCTTTCCTTGAGATGAAGCTGGAGCCGTTCATTAGATTCAGACAGAAGCTTATCAACAGTTTCTGACAAACGTTTATTATGCTCCTCATTCATCTTCTCTCTCTGTCTAGCCTAAGATACATAAAAGCTACTGAAATAACTTAAAATTTACATCTATAACAATTTCCAGGTTGTAAAAACAGTAAGCTTTCTTTAATCCAAATGCCTTTTCTTCAATAGAAATATTTTTCCAAAGGAATAAGGAATACTGCATGTACCTCCACAACTGTGTAAGGGACACTTGAGACTTTAATAACTGTTCCAAGATCAGAAGCTTTAAAATCTGAGCTTACACTTCAAGAAAAAGCAGATTTCAGAACAAATTCCGTTATTCATAACCTAGGAACTAATTTTTCCATAGTCATTTAATTCAGCAAGTTTTTGATCTGTCTCCTCATCGGAAAGTATGACTAGCAATTAGGTATTTACAAACATATTTTCAAACTTTCATTGAAGTCTTTGAGCTTTTTCTTGAGACTTAATGTCAGCCATAGTACAGTGGCTCAAATCTCCCAACTATCAGCCAGCCTAAACTCTGGCTTTATTTTAGAGATGAGAAATAAAAACAGCTTTGTTGAATGGTAGACAACCATGAAGGGGATTAGATTCTTTCACCTTTGTATCTTTGTCAAAAATATGTACAGTACCCTTTGTAGTTCTTGATTCTTTTCTTCTAGCTGTGCTTCCATCTGTCTCAGTCGTTCCTCTATATTGCCATGTCTCTCCTCAGCCTGTCAATTTGAAAACAAAATTAGAATTTTTTATTATTTTTTTTTTTACAAAAGGTTTCAAAAGCATAGAAACATGGAAGCACAATAATATATCTAACATGCTTGGTGCAGCTGCCATTTATGGTAATACACAATGCAGAACAGATGCCTTTCTGTCACTTAAAAGAACCTAGTAAGAGTTCATACATTAAGTAACAAAATGATGAAGCCTCTCACCCCTAAGTACCATGAAATCAGCTACTATTTGCAAATCAGCTTGCAACAGCAGAAGCTCACTCCTATCTCCAAGAATTTAAACAAAAAACATAAAACAACCCCCCCAAAAAGAACCACTAAATGCATTTTCATCTTTTCCTCAACTAGCCTAGCCAATATGACGCTTTGTTAGTAATCATGACAATGCAGAAAGCAGCAAGCAGAAACAAGAAACATGGACTAATATATACAAATTCTACCTTCCTAAGCTTGGTGGTAAGTTCCAATACTTTAGCATCTTTAGCAGCAGAGTTCCCAGGAGACAAAAGGTCAGACTACAGAGCCAGTTAGGGACAGGAAAGATAACAGGGAAAGAAATGAAACTAAGACTTTAAAAGAAAATACAAACACTTGAAAAGGCTCATTTGTAGTTACTACACATAATTCTTCAGACTTCATTATTCCATTTGCAGCCTTCTAAAAATCTTAATGAGTACCATTACTTCTCTCTCTCCCCACATTCCTCACTTGGTTAACAGTGGAAGAAATTTGGGCTTCCCTTTCAGAAATAGTTCTTGTTTTAGAAGACTTTATGCCTATTACTGAATTATTTTTAATAAAAAGCAACAAAATAATAATTCAAAGAGATATTTTCATAATGTAAGAGAGTTAATAGAAAATCTGCTCAAGTTCCAAAGAGGAGAAATTAAAAATTACAAAAAGGAGAGTACATCAGAGTGTGTTCAGAGACATGAACGGAAAATGCAGAAAAGGAGAAACATTTTCTGAGCTAGCTGGGGGAAAAACAGAAACACAATGTCACAAAACCAACACTACGAACATTTCATGTAGCAGGACACCAACGGAGAAGAGAGTCTTGAGGACACTGTCCAACTAACTCACCTTTGAAAGTGCTGCAACTCTCTGTGCCAGCTCAGCTTCCACCTCTGGCAAAGTTTCAGCTTTTCTCAAAGTCTGCTGCAGCTTTTGCTCAGCTAGTTCCAGTCGTTCTTGCAATTGCCTATTCTTATCTTCACTCTGCACAGGATTATGATCAGCAAATGTCTAGTGTTAAAATGGTAATTAATTTTCATCAAAGAGGAAGGTAAGGATACAGATTATCGCCCTTACTAGACCTGTGGAGAAATAACTGTCCAAAACTGGTTTCATAACCAAAGATGTGGCATCCCCCTCTTCATTACGTGAGAAAATTTTTTTCTCTACAATTTTTTTTCTGCAGACAATTTTGTGTATTCTGAAAGCAATTGTATCACCAAATAAACATAGTTACAGCATGGGCAGGAGCATAGAACAAGTTGTGCATTTTCTGTGTCAAAGCTGTGCTAAGACTTTGAGTTGCATCAAGGAAAAAATTCCTTCATATTTTAAATAACACTATGCATATTATTGCAAAATTTATTTTTTTTTAAAGTGTGTACAACAAAGAATTACACTAAAAGGGACTTCTATTGACTAAGAGTTGCCTGCCTCTAGTTAGAAACTGATTGGTTAAACAAGCATTTCTGGTTTATGAAGTTGTACTACTTCATGTCAAGCATACGGCAGATTTCCTCCTGCAGCAAGGCAACATTTACTTCTATTATAGGCTATAAAAATCACTACACAAATTTTAAAACTGTTTTAGCTTAGAATGAGTAACTCTCACACATGAAACTAAAAATGCTTAGATACACGTATAATAACTTAAAAATCCACAATTAGTAAGGACAACAGCCCTGTCGCGCTATGATCAAGAGCACTAAAATGCTCAAAACCACTTCCTCTCCCCAGTAAACTGTCTCATCTTCATTTCCAGGGTATAACTCTGTACAATGCACTCCTCCAGTTACTGAAAAACAATTGCTAACAATAGCATATTACAGAAGATACTTATCTTCTTAAAAGCAAACTGCTTTAATACAATATGAACATTAATTATTTCCATTAGTTTTATGCTAAGCAAAATGTACTTTATCTTATTTCAAACTACAACCTGTCGATGCATGGAGTCTTTAGTGGCAATTTCATTTTCAAGTTTATCATTGAGGTCATGCACAGATGTAGCTTCACGTTGTGCAGCGAGGTAGCGTTTCTCAAGAGTTGTAATTCTCTCTTCCATGTCTTCCTTTTGGGCCATAGTCTAAGCAAGACACAAGACAGAATTTAGAATATAACAGATAGTTATTTAGTGATCAAACTGGAGGGGGAAAAAAAATAATAATAATAAAAAAAATAAAAATCAGATATAGTCTGTTACTTTTCTCAGTAGAAAATGAAATAGAAAGAATAGTCTCACTTAGGCTTAACAAGTTCAATGAGTTTTGGTTTTTGTTCAGTTTTTTTTGGGTTTTGTGTGCACTTTTTGGGGTTTTTTTAGTTTTTTTTTTTGTTGTTGGTTTGGGGTTTTTTAGCGTTTTTTGTTTTGTTTTGTTTTTTAAAACGGTGAATGCTTCAAAAGTCTGGTCTTTATATTACACCACAGATCTGCTACTCACCTTCTCAACGGCACTGACACAGCAAATCTTTACTTCTTGGGGACGGTCAGAGACTGTTCTTGGATTTAACTAAGCTCCCTTTCTATTTAATAAGGACATAGTACACTGCAATATATAGGACCTTGGAGATTAGTGACTGATCAGTAACAGGAACTGTCAATCACAGCACTGAAATTGAAGTGATTTCTCAACTATGTACATCTTCAAAAATAAAAAATTTAAACTTCATGAATAAGCTTAGCATTTATGACAAGATCAAGCACCTTTTCAAGAACATGTTAGAGTTCACAATGCAAATCTCTAATTTAACATATTTGTGAAGTATCTAGTTAGTCACAGACTTATTCTGAAGACAGATTTTCCTAAGTGACTCGTCTTTTAAACAAAAAATAGCACCATCATGCCCTAAACAATTTTCTTCTTGCCCATCAAACCAAAGACAATAAAAAGCACAAAGGTGTAACTGAGCACCAACGACACTGAAATTTTGTAAAGCAGTTGCATTTGACTACCCAAATGTTGACAGTTTATTCCTCACCTCTCGTACATCTCTCTGTAACTTTGTATTCATTTCTTCAGATTTTATTAAGTCTTTTCTAGCTGTGTCAAGATCTTCTTCCAGCTCCGTTACTCTGCTAGACAAAGCAGTAAGGCGTTCTTTCATTTGTGTCTGCTCTTTGTTTTGCTTATCTATGATGTCTTGGAGTTCAATCACTTTAGCAAGGTTTTCATCATGGCATAAAGAACCATCAGAGGATCGCTATTAAACAGGGGGGGGAAGTATTTGTATGTTACACAGAAATTTGAAAAACAAACTGTTACTTATCTGTAAACACCCCTTCCCCAAAATAATTTTATTATTGGACTTCAAAAATTAAAATTGCGGTAACTGATACTTTTTTAATTAAATCATCACTCAAAAATCTTTTATCATAGTTTAAAATTAAAATATTATAGTTAATGATTAAAAATCAGACAGCTAAAAAAGTAAATACCTGTACCTTCCCATTTGTAGTTGGTGTATTTTCTTGTTCATGATTTATATCCAGCATCCCATCTGGAAGTGTTTTCTTCTGATTATTTTGCTCTTTCAGAATCATTAACTAAAAGAAAAGAGAAGTTTACAGACATATGTTTCAAGTCAATTCCTTTCTCACTAATAACATAAGGAACAGCTGCAAAAGCAAAGGAGCAAAACAACAATTACTGATTCTACTGCAAGGTATGTATTAATAAAATATGGCACAGGCACTCAAAATCTTATGCCACTGCAATCCAAAAATTCTTACTTTAAAGCCACAGGAACTCTTTTTGTTGTGGGGTTTTTTTGGGGTTTTGGGGTTTTTTTGGGTTTTTTTTGGTGGGTTTTTTTTGTTGGGAAGAGGAGGTAGGGGGATGGACGGGGCGGGGGGGTTGGTGTTTGGGTTTTTTTTTCTCCCTTTCCTGCTCTTTCAAAGCAACTAAGTTAAAAATTATAGTTATTCCATTTGGCAAAAGATCAAAAACAAGAAGTGAAAGTGAACCTTAATAACTGAGTAAACTACTGTGTACAAATACTGACTAAAACACCCACAATGTACACATGAAGACTTCTTTTAAAAAAAAGAAACCTACCTCTTTATGTGTAGTACCTAGTTCTTCTTCCAATAAGCTACATCTTTCAAGTGCTACTCGTAACCTCTCCCTTACCTGAAAGAGTAATTTCAAATAATTTGAAATCATTGAAATTAAAAAGAAATTTCACTTACTGCTATGCTGCCATCCCGTTCAGGTAATAAATGACACTACTTCCATTACACTTAGAGACCTGCTTAATCTTGAGTCAGTACTAATTACAACATATGCTACCAAAAACCTTCTAGAGAAACAATGCATATCTTAAACTCTAGCTTTTCCTTTTGTCATAAGCAAATCAAATCTCAACATGACCTGTACATTTAGGCAAGAATTAAACATATCCAGAATTTGCTTATCCTTTGGTAAGGCACAGAGTGTGTACGCTTTTGCTTATTTACAACATGGAAGAAGAGATAGAATTTCACTTAAACTAATTTGCCGGACTTTATATACAAGGGTCACAAAAGTTAAGTAAACTATGAGTTGGCAGCAAAATTCACAGTAAACTTTACCACTTGCATATCCTGCTGCCAATATCAGGCGCAACTAAAGGGTGGAATTCCTTTAATTCAGCTTTATTTTATATCACAGTGTAAGCAGATTCCTCTCCTCCTGTTCTCGCTAGTCCATTTCTTGTATTACCTAATCAAAAGGCTAAACCCTGCTACTATACAGGTAAGCAAATGTATGCATTCCTACAACAAATGTATTGCCCCTGAACCATGTTTAATTTACATCAGCACAGTTAATGAAGTACTAGATAAACTACAGCACCTTGCTTTAGTGCAACATATTAATTTAGGGGAGCAGTTACTGATGCAGTTACAGCAAAGCCACTACCTTAATACAGAGAAAGTTCAGAGACTTCAACAACTCCAGTACAAACAACTGCATAGTTCACACAAAAGAGGGGATAGGACGAGAAGATGTTAGCTACCATATTTCATTACCTTTTCATCAAGAGCTTTATGGTGCTCAAATAGAGATTTTAGTGCTTTGAGAACTTCTACTTCACTAGAAACTCCTGCTGGAGACTGAGCTTGTCTCTTTACAACAGTCATTCTGAGAGATCGCTCATGCCTGGAGACAAGACACTCCAAATGTTCCAGCAATAGCTAAAACAAAAAGAGGAACAATGTTTATTCCTGTTCTGCATAACTGCAGAAGACTTTGCCTCCTAGAACATCAAGTTTTGAGTTTTAGATTTCAAATCTGAGAGATAAAGAGTATTGCATCAAGCATAAGGACATGTTTTTAACATTTCACCCATGGTAGAAGTTATATCAGAGCTAACGCACCTCCTACCTCTCTCTTTTGGTCTAGTTTTTAAATGAGGTTTCTACTTAACCAGGCCTTTTCAGCTCCGCCACCAGCCTGAGGAACTGCCTGCTTGTCAGAAAAATACACAAAGTGCTCTAAATCAGAGAGCAACTGTTCTGCTGGCAGCAGGGTAAGCTGCTGAAACATCACCAGAGCTTGCCCACTCTAGTCCTCTGATCTCGGGTGTTGTACAATTACAAAACTTCAACAAGAAAGCTGAATGACAGACAGATACAAGCTTTTCCTGATTCTGCACAGCAGTATATGGAGCTGTGCATAAGCTTCAGAACTTTCTTAATCAACACACGTATGCAATTCCATGGGGACTCATGTGCAAATATCAGGAAAAAAAATACTTTTAGCTTTTCAAATTCAACATTCAATGTTTTTCTCCATGTAGTTGGATGTTTTAACAATGGTGATCTTGGAGAAGACAAGGAACTAACCCTCGTATTATTTCTTTCTGCTTTCAGTTCAGCAATTTCTTCTTCCCTTTCAAGCAGCTGCTCCCTGCATACATTTAGCTCTTTTGTAAGCGCTGCAAATTCCTGAAATAAACCAGACAGAAATATAAGCACATCAAATATCAGGATATAGTGAGAGCGGATTCGTATGAACATTTGGACATGATTTCTTGAAGTATTCATTTCAGATGTCTAAAGCCAATACAGTTGTATAGTCATGCTAAGCAGGCTTAAGTTCAAACACTTAAAATCGTTACACTGTCAACTGTAAAGATAAAAGATGTTTGACCAGTACTTTTCAAAAGTCGGTTGTCTCTCAAGTCAATTATCTGACTTGGGGGTTCCCTGGTAAGCAAAGAAAAACTTATTTGCAATGCACTTGCTTAGTGTTTCAAAGAGTTGTTTTGCCTTTTTTTTTTTTCTACATGACTGCTGCAGGAGGCATGAAAAAACAGAGCACTAAGCACAGTAAAACACACAAACCAGCAAAACATGACAAATTTCAAGTCAGTATTTAATTGTGAGAGGCAAAACATAACCCTGGCATCTACCAGAATACATAGGTTACTACTTTATAGTAATAGAGCATTCTTGAAGCTTCAACACTGGAAGAAGACTCAGGCCTTTACCTGTACTTGTCTACTTAAGCTACATACAGGAATTTCATTTACACCTACTTTCAAATCTCACAAAACAGAACTGAAACAGCCCTTTCCTTATAGTCCTGCTAGAAATCTTGGAGGATTAGAATCAGAATATTCTAAAAGTCGAGCCCTTGGGCTCAAAGCCCTCAAAAGGCTTTCCTTTCAAATTCAATGAAGCTTTCACCAAACAAAACTCAACCAAAGTGAAACAGTACATAGAACGAAAAGTCATCAGGGAACATGAATTAAGCTAACTCACATTAGTTTTTGCAGTTTATTACTACTGTGAAGACTGAAACTAGTCAATATTAAAGAATGTATTTCTACATTTTTGGATTTCTGTGAGGAAGATACAATTGTACTGAATATCAGAAAGAGACACTACATCCTAAACCATTTCTACTCTCTACCAACAGCCTCACTAAAAATACTCAACATAAAAGACATTTAAACTTTCTGTCAACTCAGTAAGCATACTTTGGATAGAATAAAAGATAAAACTATACACTATATTTATAAGCAAATACTAAGCATAACTTTATCTACCTACTTACTCTGGCAAAATTTAAGTTGTAATCTGAACCATGTTAGAAAATATTATTAACAGTAAGCATGAACATGAACAAGTCTACGCTTTAGAAGGAGGCTTTGTAAGAAGCGGCGGGGGAGAATTCTAATCAATGCAACTTAGGATGTGAGAATAAATATGCATCTGTCACTCCAGTGGCCAGTGAACACTTCAGAAGCACTTGTATAAGAAAACATTGAAATGCTAGTAAATAAATGTCTTCTCTATTGCATAAAATAAGGAAAGCTCTCTTATAAACAAGAGTCATGTCTAATAAACAGTAGATTAGTACAGTTGAGCTGGCCATGACCAAGACAAGGTGAACAAGACAAATAGCCAACTAAGAAGAAAATAATACTGTGGAGACACACTGTGTGCACAAACGCTGCTTCTCTGAATTTTCCAAACTCTGCAAGATATACTGCTTAACAGACAGTAGCTGCATATCAAGTAAAAGCTTAAGAGGAAGCTATTTTACAGTAAAATTCAAAGTGACACAAGACACATGCTTAAAAACAAAAGGACATATCAACTAATTACACTAGCACATCTGGAAATTCTAACATGCAGCTAAAATAAGCAGACAGTCAGAAGACATTGTCTGCAAATTCCAGGATTAATTTGGTAAACTTTATTCTAAAACATACATGTGACTGAAAAGACAAAAAATAAGTTGCACAACATATACATACCTACAGTGAACTCCTATGGAATTGCTAATGTATTAGGCTTTTAAAAGTTGCTATGAAAGAGATAGTAATACCACCACACAGATGCAGAATCCATCTCCGTAATCCTTCTTCCTAAATAAAAATCTGTTCATTGGAAAAAAGACCCAGTATAGTCCCCCTAGTTAACCAGCAAATGATTGGGAAGGAAAAAAAAAAAAAAAAGAAAAAAAGAGTCTTAATTTCTTTTCCTTTCTCAACTGCTAGAAAAAAAATTTCAGTTCTCTAACATAATTAATGATTACACTCCCATGAATATTTCACTGCAGTATTTCATTTGCATCCTTAAAAAAAACCCTGGCCTATTATTTTCAAGTAAAAATCCCTGGAAATACATTTATTAAAATAACCTAGTCTGTAAATATAGCTACTGGAACTTTTAAACACACAAAACAAACTAAAAAAGGTTCCTGAGTGCAAGGTAAATCAAGAAAGGAAAAATCTACTTCAAGCTTCACAGGAGCTGATGGAAAAAATGACTCTACTACAAGCTTTCCCTGCAGAATGCTCCTTTGTGTCCGAACTTTTCCTGTATCTTCAACATCCCACCCATGGGAGTTTCCAAGACTCCTAGGCAATTGACAGCACATGTCCCTTTTGCTCTGACACAAGCTTAGGTAAAGCAGAACGTGGTTCCAAAGTTGCAGTTCTTCACAGGCCGTCCCTACTTATCTTTAAAAATCAGATAATTATGTACTACTGAAACTACTAGAAGTTCTAATAGACTCAAAAGTATTCACAAAAGAGCTTGATACGAACTTATTTTCTTCTAAAACTCTCAAAATGCCAACATCAAAATTTACAAGCATCAACATTACAGAGTTCTCCAAAGGACATTGGACTGACATGGAAAGTTCTGTATTTTTCCAGTCTCTATCGTAAGTCTTGTGAACAGGATAAATAAAGTAGTAAGGACTATGAGATGCTGTTTCGTCATCCTTTCTCAACTTAAAAATCATTGTAGAGCATTAACAGACATTTTCTTATCTGTATGAGCTTCGTATTCTGAAAAACAGCTACCTGAAGACTATTCGCTCTTCAAATCATTATAGTACAGAGTTCTATTTCATTGCATACTTTTGTGAAAATATAAATTGTAGCACAAATATATCATAATTATGACACAAACCATCACACTGTCAGATGACCCAAAAAAAACAATGCACATAAGAAAAAACTGCATAAACAGACTGACATGTGTTTCTGGCATTGCATAATACCTCCACTGCTGTTTGTTCTGACAAAATATAGTTGCTTTGAGTTCCATAAGCTGCCTAATAAAGAACACTTGAATTGTCCTTAGTTTCAGTTGACACTGCCAAAAGACATGTCCTTTCTAGTTTTAATAACTTACCTTCAACAGTAGACACTTTGTGATTTCCTCAAGCAGTTCAAAAGGAGAGAAACTATTTGCAACTTTATCATCTCAAAAAAGTTTGAGTTGCATCGATTTCTTCCTTGGCATTAGATGAATGTACAGCAAGAATTAAAGGAAAAAGAAAAATCCTGAGAAACTTTTCTTCTCATCCACAAAGCTGTACTACTTTTCTGTAATTAAGGTGAAGTTTGAGAACATCAGAACGAAGTTCTGCTCTGTTTCTAGTTGCCATCAAAATAATAAATACCCAGCTCTGAGGACTGAGAAGAATAGTATTCAGAATGAGCACTTTAGAGCACTTAGAAGAATCAGTCAGAGAGTTCCAAATATACGGGGTAAATATCGCCTATTGATTAGAACATACTGGCAAACACCCATGCTCTATACTAAACTGAAATGTTTACTGAAGAAAGTAACTTTCTGAACCAACCGAATCATTCCAAATATGACACTCTCGCTGCCAGAAATAAATACTCTCAACAAAAAGCTAAATTGAGCAAGTATGTTTGTTGTTGTTCAATAACACATTTTCCAGAGCGGTGGGGGGAGGTCTCCCCAAACTCCATGATTTTTTAAAGCAATACTGTTTCTTCTACATCAATCTTCAGAACTGACCTTCAACCTTCAGTATTTTAGAGGCCACAACATAAGCATCCTTCCAAAAGCTGGATCAACTACAGTCTAGCTGTCAAGTCTGCACATTTCTGATGTCTGAGCTGACAGCCACTTGGTTACTTGCGAGATCTTGGTCCAGGAACATTACAGCTTTCAGGGAACAGGTTCTCTTCATGTTTATTACAAGCATAATTTATAGGTTCCACAGATAGTAGTACATCACAAACCGATAAATGCTACATGACAGGAAAGGCAGTATTTAACTTACGGAAAAATCTGAACGAAACAGAGGTAATCCCTGAAAGTCTATTACTATAAGCTGTGTATTAGGGACGCTCTACACACAAAGAAGTTTGCTTGGAATTTGCTCAAGCAAAAAAATTTATTCCATAATAAAACGCAACATCACTGTTGAGTGCATAAGGAATCACAGATTACAGGCAACAACATGACCAGAAAGTTTATTTAAAGGATGAAAACATATTTTAAAAAAGCCATATTTTAAATTCAAAGGAAATATTATTGAATACTATTAAAGTAATATCTTCTGGCAATACAAGGATGAAGATGCAACTGTTGCATCTTTAGGAACTTCTCTGTCAGATATAGGTGAGTGGAATTCATCTGTTTCGTCTCCAAGTAATATTTTGTTTTACTGTTAACATTCTGTTCTGTAGCCTGCATATCAAACAACCCACTCAAAAATCTGAGAAGCTGAAGACAGCATGAGAAGAGTAACTGGGGAAAGGGCAGGCCATCAGGGATGAGAAATCAATGGAATCTGAGGTAAGTTTCCAGCATGTTATTTACACTACACGTATACCACAATTATTCCAAATGATGCAAGCATGAAAATGACAAACATACAGTCTTAGGCAAAATAACCAAAGCAAACCTAAATATTTAAGCTTAAGAGGGTATTTCATAGCCACTTCATTTTAAATCTAAGGGGTTTAGGTAGCACAGTGACCAATATCCCCAATATATCTGGAAGTTCCTAGCAAGCAAATTTTTGTACCTATTAAGTCACAAAAAGTTTAGTTTTTTTCAGCTAACAGCCAGAATTATGAAATAGTTCAAGGGTATTTAGAGGTAAAACTGAAAAGAACTGACATGTTTTAATCATTAAATCCAGCCTTCCAAGAAAA